GATAAAAGTTCAGAACTTTGTTTTTCTGGGTTTTTATCTGACATTATAGTCTCTTCTTATAGTAACTAGCACCAGTCTCTTACTCAAAGTAACAATGAAGAGAATATTTATTATTTGGAGTATTTCTTGACTAAACGTCTATGTTATTAATTTGGTTCCCAGTTTAAAAATCATCAGATTACCACCAGTATTCTATATTCATCATCCAGATACATATATACATTGTATACCTCAACATAGACTTGTTAGAATATCTTACTTTTGGTGGAGCTCTTCTTTTTAAATTAAAGTTCACTACCTAGATTATCTTGTTTTTAGTCTTGGATTGAGAAAGCAAAATAAGACGGCAGTATTCATTCTGTTTGTCCATGTGAACATCACCCTTTTTAGGTCGTATGTAGCAGTTAATTATCTGCTCTGCAGCGTGGCATAATTGTTTCTGATGCACAGGGTAGTACTGCTGCCTTGAAAGCTGCCCTGTTTAGCCTCATAGTGACGTTGATGAAATACCTGTGTCCTAATTGACAGTGGCTGTAACCTAGCGTCCTTATACCATCAACTTTTTTGTAGCACATTGAGAATTACTCAGTTTTTAAAAGTACCATGCACTAGTTACTGATTTATTCAGTAGATACCTCAGGCCTTTGGCATGGACGAGAAATTTGGGCATAGTGAACAAGATAGATTGATGAGATCTAAACCTCTTGTTTTTATAGATGCTTATAGTGTAGCATGTTCTTTAGGAATCCTTGAACTGTTCATCGGGTAGGCTTCCAGGGAGTTTATTTAGATCCCTTAAGTCCCTACAGTAGAAGGCTTTCCCTTAGAGCTAACCAGGACCTAGCCAGTTCATTTACTCATGTGGGTGAAAAGGGTGGAAGTTGGAGAATCAATCAATCAGTAGACTCTTGTGTAGCTGAGCTGTGTGGAGAATTTGTGAGGCTGGCTACGCCTGCACCTGACACCAGCGTCTTGTAGGACCTGGAACTTCTTGTGAAGTGTCAGTGCATGGGAAAAAGAGGAATGTTTTTCTCAACATATGCATAGGAAATATATGAATCTTATACTAATGCAATTCCAGGATTTTAAATAAGTTAGTAATGGATCCCTGGCTCTTGAGAAAGATGAGGATATGTGGTATATGTCCTTAAGGTTTTCAATTTTATAGTATAGAAAAATTCAAGGGGCACCCAGGTAGCTCAGTTGGTTAAGTGTCTGACGCCTGATTTCCACTCAGTCACGATCTCAGGGTTATGGGATTGAGTCCCATGTCAGCCTCTGTGCTGGGCATGGAGCCTCCTTGAGAGTCTTCCTCTCCCTCTGTCCCACTCCCCATGCCCTCTTTAAAAGAAAAGAAAAATTCAAACATATCCAAAATCAGAGGTCACAAAGCTTTTTAAGGTAAGGACTTTGAAACCTTGTGCACCTAGAATAGGCCACCCCTGCCTGGCTCTGGCACCAACTTCCACCTTGAGTGGAAGACCTGGGGAGCAGCTTTGAGAAAAACAGACCAGCAGCTGAAATGTTTCTGTGGATTGTGGTCTTGTAGAGTGGCCTATCTTTCCCACGGTGCTTCCATTTTCATTTGGGGATCTTTCTCTGTAAGGTAGGAATGACTCTCAGCTGGCAGTGATAATGCACTTGTTGGAGGCAGAGTCATGGCAGGTCAGGAGGCACCTGTCTGGTTCAGCCATCCACAGCCTTATCTGCACAGCCATCACCCACAGAGCCTTTAAAATATGCTCATGTCGAGATCCCAGCTCTACAGTCTAAAATATAAAATAGATGGTTCTGGATTCAAGCCCAGGATGGCTAGGATTAGAACTCTCCCCAGGTGAAAAATAGGTAAACTGAGTGTCCCTGACCAGTGGGGGCAGTGTGAACATAAGTGGTCCTTAGGAGAAAGCACTCAGTCTTCATCACCAAGCATGATGTGAGCTGCCCATTTGTAGGGGATGCCCTTTATGAGTCGACAGAAGTTCCTTCCATCCCTGGTTTGCTGAGAGTTTTAATTGAGAATGCTTTTGCTGCACCAGTACAGGCGATGACGTGGTTTGCCAGTGTACAACCAGCCTTGCATTCCTGGGCTAGACAGTGCTTGCTCACGGTGCGTGATGCTCTAGTACAGAACTTTCCTCACGCACATTTGTTGAGGATGTTCTTTTGTGGCTTGCTTCTCTTGGGAGGTCTTCAGCGTTTCCATCTGGGTCATGCCAGCCTCAGAGGGCAAGTAGGAAGGTTCTTCCTCCCCCTCTCTTTTCTGAAAGAGGCTCTGACAAGGTTCACCAGGGAGTTCATCTGGCTTTTTCTTTGCGGGGGTGCTTTTCACTACCACCTCAGTGTCTTTTCAGATTTTCTTCTTGAATCTGTTTTGGTGTTTCACCTCGGTGAAAGTCTCATTTCACCTCAGTGGCCTGACTTGGTATAAAGCTGGTCATGACGTCCTTTTTCATTTTGGTAGGGGCTGTGGTGATAATGGCTCTGTTATTTCTGACTGTGGTCTTTGGCACCCTTCCTTTTTCTTGATCGTTAGAGGTCATTGGTTTTGTTGATCTCAAAAATGAAACTTTTGGTTTCATTGATTTTTCCCTATTGTTTTTCTGTTTCCTAGTCATTGCTTTTTGCTGTGATCTTACCGTTTGCTTCCTTGTATTTTGGATTGGATCCTCCGCCCTCCCCAGCTTCTAGAGATAAAAGTTCAGGTTCTTGGTTTCAGATTTATTTTCCTTTCTGACATAACTGCTTTAGATTTTGATATGTTGTATTTTTATTCAGAAGGATTTTTTTTATCAGTTTTTTATTCTTTCATTTCTTAGCCTGGCTTCCTATGGGTTGAGCATGTTGTTACACAGCTTGTTGGTCGGCTGGTCGGTCATTCAGGAAGAGATTGGCCAGTGGTCTGTGAGTGGGGCAGCACTTGCCCTTCCTACCCACCCCCTTGGGCCCTGGCACACCCATGAGCTTCCCTGGCTCCCTGGCACCCGTGGAAAGCTCTTTCGTTTCCAAGATTTCTCATTCTGTTTCTCAGATTACTGGCTGGTTGACTATTGTTCCAGAAAGCCCGGGGGCTGACAGTTCGGTGGGTGTTCCCCATTCCCTTCCCTCTGAGGTTGCTGCTCGTCCTGACTGTGCTGACTGCCCTGCTTGTGCTGCAGGGCTCCTCAGGCTTGCAGGCCACACCAGCTCTGCCCTCTTGGTCGGCTGGGGAGCCCTGTTGAGGAGCAAAGATGGCCCTGCACCAGGTCTTGGGAGTAGGTGCTGCTCTGTGTCTTGTTTGACTCTTGTTCATTCCCAGAGACCTGAAATGCTTGTTCTGGATGGTTTTGTCCAGTTAAATATTTGTCTTGGGGGGAGGAGATTTGCTATCCTCTTCATGTCGCTGTAGCCAAAAACCCTGCCACATGTGACATTTTTAATCTCATTTTTCTTGGGTCCCAATTACTTTGGGCAGTTTTTACACAAATCTTATCTACACCTATCTTGCTCCAGCCCCTGTCCCTTCACTTTATGCCATTAAACTGCCTCTAAAAGATAAGTTTAGAGGGGAGAGAGCACAGAGTACAAGGGCTGCTGCTGAGCTCATTCACCCAGTTCCTTTTGGGTTTTTTTTTAATGTGTATATTTTTTTATTGGAGTTCAATTTGCCAACATACATAGTATAACACTCAGTGCTCATCCTGTCAAGTGCCCCCCTCAGTGCCTGCCACCCAGTTCCTTTTGGATCACAGGTGCCACAGAACAGGCCGCGAGGGCAGAGCACTGCCCACTGTGCTGACCAGGGATAGAATCTTACTGTTCACTCTCACACATCTGTTGCTGTTCAGATTTCATGACTTAGCAGGGCAAAAGAGGATTTTCTTGCTATCCACACTTACTTTTTGGTCACCAGCTACTCTTTTGGAGAGACACTGCATTTAATAATTGAACCTAGCCAACAGGCACCATCCAGAGAGATTTTCTTATGCTGCCTTGTGGTATCGTGAACATAAATAGTACAGTGTGAATGTGTTAAATAGCAAGACTTTGAGAACCTTTTAAAGATCTAACTGGCTTTATTAAATATTTATGAATTGGACAGCAAGCAGAGGAGGCTCCCAGGAGATGTACACAAAGAAAGATTTTTTATAGAAGGAGGATGGAGCAAGATAGTTATTGGCAAAAGAAAAGGATGGGTTGAGGCAGGTGGCTCTCCCTAAGGGGGAAAAGTTAGGGTCTTGTCATGCAAATGCTCTGACCTTCCCTGTGTGTGGCCTGCTCTTTAGTGCTGATTGAAAACTTCCTGACTTGTCCAGTGAAGACCACATCTCTGGGGGAGATTGATTAGTCCAGTCTCAGTTTGGGGACTCATGGTCTGAGTGACATCATAACAATTTTAAAGTCAAGAAATGAAGGATTGTTAGTAAAACTCAAAAGTTAGATTTCTGATACTCCTAAAGCTGGTAATAGGGCCCACGAGTCCCTCCTCTGAAATCACTGACTCCTTAGCGTGAGCCACTTGGCGTCTCAGCGCGAGGCAGGGGGGTGGGAGAGGACCAGGGGTCAGTGCTGTGTCTCCAGGCCTGTGGCCACAGCCAGAGAGATGCGTCCCGAAGACAATCCACCTGAAATTAGGTCTGAAAATGGGTTAAAACTTTTAAACCACTGCCTGTGCAAACTCAGATTTTAACAAGAATGCTCTTGAAAATGGCAAATACATTTTGAGTATGACGTATTTTTAAAGTTAAGCAGTATTTCAGTGAGCTAAACAGCATTTACTTTAATCACAGACCTTTTGAGTGGATCCTGTAATTAAAGATCTTCGTGTTTTAAATTTCAAAGATATTAAAACCCAAACACTGTCAAATGAGGAATTTCCTTAGTGGCTCTAGTGAAATGACAGGTTTGGTTTTTCACCTGCTTGAAATAGTTTTGCTCTCAGTTGAGCGCTGAGGCGGACTCCCTGATGCTGGGGAAGGCCGCCTGGCCATGCGGGTACTGACCAGCTCGCTGCCTTGTTTCAGCAGGGAGGAGAGAGCGACGGCTTTTTTCACCCTGAGGGCCAGCCCCAGCGGCTCCCGCAGCCCCCAGAAGTGAGACAGCAGCCCGCCCGCAAGGTGACGCTGACCAAGGGGGCTCTTCAGCAGCCCCAGCACCCACCGGTGGGCTCCCACGTGCACTCGGCCGGCCCCCCAGGCATCAAGAGCATCCAGGGAATTCATCCGGCCAAGAAGGTACTGCCTGTTACCTGGGCCGCGCCGTGGACACATGACGCCCAAGTGCCGGGAATGCGTAGATGTCCTGCTAGTCACAGTGGTCAACATCTGGACAGTTCTCGGATATGAGTGCCTAGTGCACAGTAGGAGGGCTCAAGTAAATTAAGAAATGAGCCATAATTTCCTTTGTTATGGCTTTGAAAGTAAATGTGTTCACAAAAGTACTTTCCCCTCATGACTTTTTAATGGGACAACTCAGGGAGAGCCCACACAACCGGGGGTGTGGTGGTTCGCTGCAGCTCTGGCCCTGCTCTGGAGACAAGCCTGCGCTCGCAGATCCCAGTCCTGTACATTTCCTTCCCCAGGTCGCTGGTTCTCCAGACTCCGCAGACAGAGAACCATTGCCCAGGTCCCTGGTGGGAAAGCAAGCCCTTTGGGGGTGAAGGACCGTGTGTGAAGAACATGATAAGAATTTAAAGTCTTCCCTAGGAGAAGAGTGTCCACCTTGTCCTGTTAGATCCCTGTAGTAGGGTGCCCTTCCCCTCAGCTGGTTGGGGAGCCATCCTTGTGGCTTCCCCAAAGCCTTCGCCTCTCTGCCTGACAGTGAAGTCCCCTCTGGGTGCATAGGTCAGATGCCCCTTGTCTGATGGAATTATGTAAGGAAGGAAGTGGGGCAGCAACATCTGCTTTGAGTTCTTCTAGAAAGCTCGGCAGTCTCCTAGCTCTTCCCATCTCTCTACTTGTTCTTTTACTGATACTAAGTAGTAATCATATTAATATGAAAGCCATTTGGGGTCTTTGAAATATTTAAATTACTTAGTGTATATTATATCATAAGCTCTTGATGATGTAGGAGCAAATGAAATTATTCCCTTTTTGCAACAGAAGACTAGTATAGACATTAAGTCTTATCTCCAGTCCTTGAAGGTTGCCGCAGTCTAAACTGGCTTCAGTTGGGCTGAGACGTTAGAGGCCCCTTCCCCCATACAGCTGTGCATGTCTAAAACCTTCGTCTTTCCTGGCTCATGTGGGCTCTTGGGAAGATTTCATAAGAAGATACATATAAAAAGCATGGTCCTTGGTGTATAAGTAACCATTGGGTAAAGGATATTATTATTAATATTATAACTTCTAGCCTGAATATAAGAATACTTATTTATTGCTGGTATCCAGCCAATTTTACTTAACAATTAAAAAAAAAATTCTAGTGTGGTGTTAACATACATTGTTAAGTTTCAGATGGACAGTATCGTGATTCAGCAGTTCCTTATATTACTCAGTGTTCGTCATGAAAAGTGCACTTTTTTTTAAGATTTTATTTATTCATGAGAGACAGAGAGAGAGAGAGGCAGAGACACAGGCAGAGGGAGAAGCAGGCTCCATGTAGGGAGCCCAATGCGGGACTCGATCCCAGGACTCCAGGACCACGCCCTGGGCCAAAGGTGGCACTGCTGAGTCACCCATGGATCCCCAAAAGTCCACTTTTAATCCCCTTTCCCCCACCCACCTCCCCTCTGATGACTATCAGTTCTCTAGAGTTAAGAGTCTATTTCTTGGTTTCTTTTTTTCTTTGTACATTTCTTTTCTTTCTTAACATCCCACATCTTAAAGAGTGAGATCGTATGGTATTTGTCTGTCCCTGACTGACTTCACTTAGCATAATACTCTCTTACTCCATCCACACCATTGCAAATGGCAAGATTTCATTCTTTTTTATGGCTGAATAATATTCCAGGTGTATATATTACACCACATCTTTTTTATCCACTCATCTGTCCTAGACATTTGGGCTGCTTCTGTAGTGTACCTGTTTGTTTTTGATTTTAGCCATTCTGACAGGTGTCAGGTGGCTCACCGTGGTTTTGATTTGCACTTCCCTGATGATGAGCATTGTTGACATCTATCTATTCATGTGTCTGTTGGCCATCTGGATGTCGTCTTTGGAGAAATGTCTGTTCATGTCTTCTGCCCATTTTTAAACTGGATTATTTTTTTGGGGGGTGTTGAATCATGTAAGTTTTTTTAATCTATTTTGAATACTCACCCTTTATAAATATCTTCTCCCATTCTGTAGGGTTGTCTTGTAGTTTTGTTGGCCATCTCCTTCACAGTGCAGAAACTTTTTATTTTGATGTACTCCCAGTAGTTTAATTTTGCTTTTGCTTGCTTTGCTCAGGAGATACATCTAGGAAAATGTCGCTATTGCGAATGCCATAGAAATTACTGCCTGTAACCTCTTCTAGGATTATGATTTCAGGTCTCACATTTAGGTCCTTAATCCATTTTGAGTATATGTTTGTGTATGGCCTAAGAAAGTGGTCCACTTTCTTTCTTCTGCATGTGGATGTCCAGTTTCCCAACACCATTTGTTGAAGAGACTTTTTCCCACTGGATACCCTTTCCTCCTTTGTTCACGATAATTAGATTGTTTTCTTAATATCTCGTGATGTTGTTTCATTATTAGTTTATAGAAATGCAGTAGATTTTTGTACATTGATTTTGTATCCTCCGACTTTACTGAGTTCATTTATCAGTTCTAGTAGTTTTTTGTTGGAGTCTTTTGGGTTTTCTATATGTAGTATCATGTCATCTATAAATAGAGTTTTGCTTCTTCCTTACCAGTTTGGATGCCTTTTATTTCTTTTGCTTGTCTGATTGCTGAGGCTGGGACTTTCCAGTACTGTGATGAATCGAAGTGGTGACAATGAACCTGTTTTGTTCCTGACCTCTGGAGGCAAGCTCTCAGTTTTTCCCCATTGAGGATGATGTTGGCTATGGGTTTTTCATATATAACCTTTATCATGTTAAGGTATATTCCCTCTAGACCTATGTTGTTGCTTCTTATCATGAATGGATGTTGTACTTTGTCAGATGCTTTCTTTGCATATTGAAATAATCATATGGTTTTTATCCTTTATCTTATTGATGTGGTTTGCATGCATTTTTTGATGTGTGTTTTCCAGTGTGATATCTCTTGTAATATCTTTTTGTACTTTTCAAAAACTTACTTCCCAAGAGGAATTTTGGTGCCTTCATTTCACTGCCACCCTGCAGAGGAGGAGTTTTGTTTTAGAGAAAGCACTTGGCACTTGGTGCTGTATCTAATTTTCTAATTAGAAAATACCAGAAGGATTCTGCTATCTCCTCTTCTTTAAAGGATCCCAGAACAATGGTTTTGAACCCTTGGGCAACTTAAAAAACTCCTAAGGTCTGGGACCTGCCTTAAGCCAGTGACATCACTGTGGTGGGGGTGGGCACATGGGCATTGCTGTGGCTTGGATTTTTTTGGTGTTGTTAAAGCTCTGTAGAAACTTGCAGTGTGTGGGACTGTGGTGTGCGGCAGCTGGGAAGTGACCCCAGCTACGGAACCTGCCTTTTAGGTTCTCAGGGTACCAGCTACACAGAGTCACAGGGAGACTTGGGTACTTAATATTGTGGCTTGTGGAGGCTGTGTGATGGCACCAATCCCCACTGATGTGGCCTGGAGTATGCTGGGAGAGATTTGGGCTCTAGGGCTATTAGGACCAGACCCAAATAAGTTATTCAACCCCTCTGATCCTCCTGCTTCATCTGCAAATGGTGCTTACACAGAAGGTACTTACTCATACCGTGTTTAGTACCAAGATAGATCCACACTTAGCTACTTCTCCTTCCTTCCTTGCCTCTATCCAGATTTGCTGGGTTTGGTTTCATTTAGACATTAAACCCCTGCTGTGGTAGTGGATGAAAAATACACAAGATCCTGTAGCTTATGGTCTATTTTAATGGATTCTGAGTTGTTTGATCACTTTAATAATCTTACTCTCTGTGGGAAATAATCCCACAACTGGAAAGTCACATAGTACTTCTGTTGTTGCCAGGTCATCATGCACGGGAGAGGCCGAGGGGTGGCAGGAGCGATGGGCCGGGGGCGCCTGATGCCGAACAAGCAGAACCTCCGCGTGGTGGAGTGTAAGCCTCAGCCCTGTGTCGTGTCTGTTGAAGGGCTTTCTTCGTCCACTACTGATGTCCAGCTGAAGAACCTACTCATGTCAGTAGGCCCCATTCAGGTGGGTCACCTGGGGCCCCTTCCTAGGACTCAGTTATGTCTTGATTTAAGTTCCCTTTGTGTTGGTATTTCCTGTTAAAATAACATATTTAAGAAGAAAGACACATTTTATTTACTGTGCATCCCTGATATCAGAACTCTTGCTTTAGAGTTAAGTTATTTGGAAATTTTTAGGTGCTCGGTCATGAAATTTATGAAATAACTTTGCCAACTGAACAAATTATCCTTTGAAATCCTCATATTATCCTAAAGTTCACATAGGCACCTATACATCTATATTTTTTGTTCTGTAATACACTTTTGTTTGTGACAACTTAAAACTTGTAAAGCATTTGGCCTTCTTGACCTTAATTTCCAGAAATAGCTCACATGTTATCAGCTATGAAACTTGGTTTAGATTTTACAGACATGAAGTAACATATACTATATTTTGATCTCTTAATCTTAAAATGAGTTACTTCTAAATGCTTAAAAAATCTCTGACAAGCAGGCTGCAGATATGGCTTCAGTTCTGTAGTAAACAGAATTCTCCATTTAAACCCCTGAAATCTGCATCTTCTAGAGTCCTGTAGGTAAACCATTAGGGAAGTGGGTGGTCCTGGTTTTCCTTGAGCCCTGTGTCTCTCTGGTCCTGTGGTCCTGTATTTGGCCTCCCCCTACCATCCCAGATGCCATCAGCACTGGGTCACATCCTGCATGGTCAGGAGGTGGAGTGTGACTATCAGATTTCTGCATGCTTTCCTTTCAGGATGTTTTATAGCCTCTTGCTACATGAGTGAATGGGGTTACATTTTCAGACTAGAGTTGATACAAATAATTCTTAACATGTTTGAAATCTGTCTACTATTGAGAGTCTCTAAACGTGAGGCATGGATGAAATCTCTTCCAAAACTTTCCCTATTCAGGCATAGCGACTTCCACCTTTCGATTCCCAGGGATATGGTTAGGGTTAATTTTTATTTGTGTGTCATAAGAGAAAGTTAACCAAGAATTTGAGCTTCCATTTTCAGTATAGTCTCTTGCAGGGGTGTGGCCAGAGACAGCTGTCCGTCATCTGGGGCTTCTGCACTGCCTTCACAGGCAGCCCCTTCGCACAGGTCATCACAACAGGGATCAGTTTGCGGAGCATCGTAGGTTCATGAACAGGTGCTTATCCTGGTCTGAGACTCTCCCACAAATGGTGGTAGAGAATGGGCTCCAGTAACAGTGTAGCTGTGAATCCAGACTAATAAACCAGAACCTCCTGTGGGAGTTCTGAGAACTGGTGTTCTCTGGGAGAGCTCATGGGCAGTCTCGTGTCCCCGGGGGGTGACAGCATGGCTGCTTTCCACATGTGACCTGCTAATGATCGTGGCTTTGCTTCCTCACATGTAGTCTTGATAATTCTCTGGAGTGTCCTCAACTGAAATACAGTTTTCAGGTCTGAATAGTGCTGCTACTTGCTTCTCAACACAATGAGTGAGAGTCAGTGGCTGCTTGGAGCTGTTGCTAAGTCACCTAACCTCAGTCTACTCATCTTAACACTTGAATTTTGCATTTTGCATTGGGGCTTATAGATCTCTTAAATGGCCCTTTTTGTTGTTGTTGTTGTTTATGAAAAGGATTAGAGATCATTCTGTTGGAAATAAAGTTTGATTGAGGGAACTAAAAGCCAAACAGAAACAGGGTTGGATTATTTAATGCCTTGTTCTAATTAGAAAGCAAGAGGAAGCTAGGAAGGGGAGAATGAATTCTCTAGATTATATCAGTTACCTTTACAATGGGGTGGAAGGTGAGGGCCCATCTGCCCCTGGAGAAACTCCTGGGATGATGGATTTAGCGCTTATAGAAGGACCTCTTCTCCCACCCTGGGGAACACAGCAGAGTATGTGCATCATGCCAGTCCTAGTCCCATAGGATGATTTTGAGGGTGAGTTTATAAATATTTAAACACCACATTCACAAAATGTCAAGTTTCTTAACAGAAAAAAAAAAAATTCTAACAAGTATAAACAAGACTCTTCCAATGTTAGAGAGCTGAAGAGTGATATTAAGTATACATTTTATAGAGACCTTTATAACAAGAGTCACTTATGCTTTAAGTATAAATACACTTGGAAGGGATGATGCTGGCTAATCCAGGCCTTCTGTGGTTGGCCTTCTGCAGTCCTGGCAGGAGGAAGAGTTGGTGTTGAGCTTTTGTGTGCCTGGACTCTGGCACCACCTCGTGTACACTTGGTGTCACAGCAAGTGGTGGTGTCTAGAGCAGGAAGGCTCCTGTTCTTTGGGGGCTTTAAATCTTTTTTTTTTTTTTTAAGATTCTATTTATTTATTCACGATAGAGAGAGACAGAGAACATAGGCAGAGGGAGAAGCAGGCTCCATGCCAGGAGCCTGACGCGGGACTCGATCCTGGGACTCCAGGACTGCGCCCTGGGCCAAAGGCAGGCGCCAAACCGCTGAGCCACCCAGGGATCCCCCTTTGGGGGCTTTAAATGAGAGGAAATGACAGTGACAACATGCAAGCTCTGCTTCTTAAACTGCGGCATATGAGAGGCTTTCCCAGTGTGGCGGCAGGCCTTGATGAGCACGTTTCTCTCAGACTAGTGTCGAATCCCTGTACACAGTACTCGGAAGCCTCTCTACAAAGTCTATTTTAAAATTCTATATTGGCTCGTTGTTTACAGAATAAGAAAAAATGGCAAGATTTTGTAGAAATGTTAAAACCAGAAGGTGGCAGTGGCATGAGAAGTAAGGGGTGTGTTTCAGAGTTTCAGGGAAGATGGCCCAGTGAGAGCCACGTGGTGCTCACTTGTAGCTATGTTGCACGAGTCCACATCTCAGAAAAGGCTCTGCTTTGGATCCCTAGACCCAGTGGGAGGCACCTGCATCTTGCTCATAGGGAGGGCAGGAGACCACAGGGGGGCCCATGAGTACTATGGGCAGCTGAGCACACACCCAGCTGCTCTCTAGTGATCTGCACAGCTTCCCGCAGGAGTGACCTGACCTCTTGCTCTGTCCTGAAACACGGAAGCCAAGGGGACTCTTCGGATCAGGAAGTAAGCTACTTAAAACACCTGTGGCTTTTTTGCTTGTTTTTATTTCCCTGTTTGCTAGGTTGTGCCTAAAATTATGCCAAGAAGAAAAATTTGTTATCCTATAAATGTCCTGTTGTAAAAACAAAAAAGTAGTTTGCTCACAAAAGCAGAACATTTGAAATAATTTAATGAGAATCTGTAACCAGTTCCCCGTCGTTATCACTGTCAGCCATGTTGACAACAGTCGTGCTGCACACGTCTTCTCTGCTGCTCTCTATTCACTTCTCCCAGCAGCAGTCATGGGAGCAGCGCCTGAGCTGGGCAAGAGTAGAAGTGACCCCTCACCATGCAGCCAGAGTCACGACTGGGGTCAGGCTCTGAGACTAGGCTTTGGGGGCAAGTCCCGATGTTGCCAGTTCTTGATGTGTAACTCTCGGAGGGAGCACTTCTCCTTTGTGAGTCTGGGCTTTTTCTTCAGACTCTCATCACCACTCCTTTGCGACTGTCCCGTCACACCCTGGCAGTCCTGGGGGGATAGGAGAGACGGGCAGCCTCCACATAGCCCTCGAGGGGTGGCAAGCAAGACAGGACAAGGTGTGCAGCAGGTGCACCCCATGGCCATGTGTATGCTCTCGGTGGGGATGGGGGGTGCTGGACAGCCTTCTAGGTCCCGCACATTTACTTGCTGCCTCTGGACACTGCAGTTCTGGAGTGCAGCTCAGTCCTTGCAGTGTGGCAGTGCTCCTTTGAGTGGTTCTGTGAGGTTGGCTCATGTAGGAGCATTTGACCTGTTCTGAAGATGCAGCTCGTTCTGACCCACTGTGGAGGGTTGGTCGCTGAAGTAGAAAAGGTTGGAATCTTGAGTGAAAGCAGTTCAGTTTTGAAGTTCAGGACATTTGGGAGAAAAAGCTCTAGGTGCGGTCAGTGTAGACTTAGGACAGACTCATGCCACAAGGTGTAAGGAGAATAAAGGCATAGCCACGAGATTTGGAGCCATATTGGGCAAAGTCCTGAAAACAGTGTGGCAGTAACCCAAAGGAAGAAGGGACTTTCAGGAGACCAGTGTGGCAGCACGGGAGCTCTGAAGAGCTTGCATGGGTTCCAAAGGGCAGGTTTGTCCTGCAGGAGGGAAGCTGGACAGCAGCAGCGTCAGTGGCATGGGCCATGGGAATGTACCTGCACCGAGTCAGCACAAGCAACAGGCCCTGGGGCACGCGGAATCACAGGTGGAATCACAGGTGGATGTGCGGCACGTTGGGATTCAGGAGGACACTGGCTGGGCACCAGAGCAGCCTGTGGTGGTGGCACGCATGCATGTGGGAGGCCCGGGAGCATGGCCTGACTGACAGTGTGAGTATGTCGGCTGCCTGCCCTTGGTACTGTTCTCCTCTGTGGGCACCCTGTGCCATGAGGGGGCATAGGCCTGCTGGGCACAGGGAGGATGAGGTTGGTGGTGCCAGCCCACAAGGGGGGCCTTCTGTACTCTCTGTGGCTGTTGGACGGGCCACAGAAGTGGCCCACCCGCGGGTGTCTGGGTTAGGGCTGCAGTGAGGCTGTTCTCATGCAGTAAGTTTACTTGCTTACTTTTAAGATTGCATTTATATATGTGAAAGAGAGCATGAGCAGGAGGAGGGGCAGAGGGAGAGGGGGTAGAAGCAGTCTCCCCGCTGAGCCGGGAGCCTGATGTGGGGCTGGATCCTAGGACCCTGAGATCATGACCTGAGCCAAGGCAGACGTTTCACTGATGAAGCCAGCCAGGTACCCAGGAAGGGGAAGAATTTTAAACAGATTTTCAGGGCCTCAGAACCCTGTTAGTGTCTCCGTAATATTTTCGTTTCTCTGAGTGTGTGCACAGGCACACAGGCTCTTTCTGGAAGGAGAAGCAACTTCTACCAGGGGAAGGTGCCTGGGGCTCAGAGCAACACAGACCTTCCTGGGATCCAACTGTGGGCTGTCATAGCCCATCAGGGCCGGCCAGCTGGCCCCCGGTAGGGTAGCAGGGTGTCCGAGCAGGCAGCTGCCAACCAAGGGGTTCCATCTTGCATTTTGCTACATAAAGAAGGGCAGTTACCTGTTTTCAGGAAGTGAAGCAAAGGCGTCTTACCTCTGAAAATGAGGCGTCAGGATGAAAGTTGGTGTTCGCTTTCCGCCTGTGTGCCAGCATGGCACCTGTGGGAAGGGCCTGGAGAAACGTTGTGAATTTGGCTTTCCTCTGGGTGAATTGGTGTTTAACTGTATGGATGTATGGTACTGATCTGTAGATGTATATAACCTCAAAGTGGAAGCCTGTGAACAGAAATAAGGCTTTTGGCTTTCGGTGAAGTGTCTACTTCCCTGCTCCCAATACAGAAGTTACTAGTAGCTCTTATTTTGGTAGGTCAGACACTTCCTGACACTCAGTCTTGTATCTAGAAAATACTTGTAATTTAAAAGAAGGTACAAAAATGTAGATAGAGGGGAACAGATAAGCACATTTAAGGCTGTGTCCTCATTACCTGTGCTGACTCCTTGAGAACCAGGCCGGTCCTTAGGAATTTCAGCTGGCCATGTCCTGACTGGCATCTCCTCAGTCAGACTGAGGTTTAAACTCCTTAGGTACAAATACATGCTCTTGCATCAGGCATTTTACCATTTTATCTAGTAAATGGTAAAAATGAAGCTTCATGCCTTCATTTCACATTGTGAAGTCACCCCAAGGAAATCACTCTAGAAATGTAGAAACATGTTCTTTCCTCAGAAAAAAAGCATGGTATTTTCAGAGTCCAGATTCTGTCTGTGAATTGTAGAGTGAATAATTACTTGTGATATCATAAATTAGTTTTTCCTGTCAATTCCAAATAAAGTTCTTGTATTTTTAGACGAGGTAAATTTAGGTAAGTTCTCCTGACTCCCTCATGAGGTGTGTCACTGTGGGGGCGCCACTCTTGCCCCTCGAGCCCTGTGGTTGGTCCAGAGGCACACACGGGACCAGGGGAAGGGCCTAGCCGTGGGCTGTGTGCAGGTGCTGGGGTCACCTGGTGTCAGAGCTTCAGGGTGGCAATAGCCAGAACTCATCCATCCTGGGAGTGAGCAGCCAGATGAGACTCGCGGCTTGGAAGAGAAAGCGGGCCTCTGCCCCATACTTTGGGCGTGTCTCTGAGGCTGGGGAATCTGCATGCTGAGGGTGCACCCAGGGAGAAGTCGATGACAGTCATTAAAGACCACGTTATGGTGCTTTTCTTGTGCTGTTAACAGTAACTTTAATCATCAGAAAATTCTTCTGCTTCCAGTTTTTATATCCACAGAATAAGAAAGATTTCGAATTCTGCTAAGCTCACTTCAGCACACCAGGCGGGCAGACACAGCTCTGTGCTCCCCGAGGGCTGCCCGTGCACCTAGTCAGGTCGGGGAGGAGTCCTCGGGTGGGGCTGTGGCGACGACTACAAGTGGTCTGTGTACACACCTGTGTAATGGGGAGACTTGAAACAGTTTATTTCTTTGTGAAGCACTGAAAGGTGACCTTGGGGAGGTGGGTGCTTGCTTAGAGCTCTCCCAGTGGTGTTCACTGGTTAGACGTTCTGTGGTTACTGAAATGAAGAGTACGTGGTATTTTTAGCCGTGTGTTTCCATTGTAGATCTTTGACAAATGTTTTAAAACTACCCACATAGGTCAATGCTTCTAAGGGTCACGTGTTAGCATCAGTTATTTTTTCTGGCAGACAGAAGCTCAGACCCTGAGGCATCGAGTTGTGTGCTATCCTGAGGCATCGAGGCAGTGTGTCCTGCAGGGAGCCAGTGTTCCGCTTCAGCTGCTGCAAGCCCTGCCCTTTGCAGAGGCTGGAACCTGCTCAGTGCCCCAGATACACGTGCTAAGCTGCCTGCATCACCAGGATGCTTGGGAAGCATTAGGCGCTCGAGAGTGGGATTGGCTGATGGATCACAAGGTCTCTTCCTTTGACCTGTCCTTCACAGATCCTGGGATCCTAGACCCCAAGGCCTCAGAGAAAACTCAGAGCCATGTGTGCGTCCTCCTCAGGGCCAGTGTGAGGACTAGGTACAAGTTACCTCTTGCCAGTGCTTGCTTTTCAGACAATAAGATTCTTGTCACCCGATGGATCATTTCTTTCCATCTGTCTTCTTCACAGACTAACTTGGTTTTCACTGCAGAGTAGCTGCCTGTGATGGTTGCTCTTGCTCCTGAAGACCTAATTTGCGATGTCACTCAGTGATCCACTTCTAAGTGCAAAATGTGACCAGCTATATATGTAAAAGCCTCAGTTTACCCTAGTGGTAATTGTTGGGTCCCCTTGCTAAATGGCAGTTTCCTCCTGTGTGATGAGTATTGCTCTTTTAAAAAGCTTAGTGAGGGCCACAGAGAGGATCCCCTGGCAAAATGGCATGCAGACAGGAAGTGACTCTCCACAACTGTCTGCCACCAGGACTCACAAGGTGGGTTGAGGGAGAAGACGGAGTGGCTCATGTGGCCAGGTGATGGAAGGTCTTAACACCAGGCTGGAAGGATATACATGCTACTCATGGGAATGACTGTTTTGGGATAGATACTCTGGATAAGATAAAAATTGCTAGGGAGGTACAGTTTCCTTTAATGATCCAAATGTCAGCCTGGACTTGAACTTTGTGTTAAAGCTAATGTATAAATACATTGGGTGTTTTCTCTTTCCTTTCTTTGTTTTCTTTTTCCTTTCCTTTTCCTTTTCCTTTTCTTTCCTTTCTTTTCTTCTCAACACATAAAACATGATATTAAAATGTTTTTCTGTTTTCTTCTTCTAGAGTTTACAGATGCTTCCCCAGCAACGGAAAGCCATAGCTAAGTTCAAGGAACCAGCTCATGCATTAGCGTTTCAACAGAAATTCCACAGGTAGCCAGTGTATTCCGTGGTCAGGGTGATGTGGGAGTGGGTGGGAGAACTGCTCCAAGGCGTTTGCTCTCTGCCAGGGCAGCTGTGCACAGTAGTGCATAAAGGGTGCACGCAGCGCACCCTTCCTAATGTGGGTCACCAACCCTTGTTGTCATGTTGGTCTCCGTCTGCATGGTTATAGAATTTTCGTTAATCCGGACCCATCATTTTACCTTAGTTTTTACCTTAAGTTGACTGGGGACATGTGGAGTTTGCTTGTTCTGACTGTTTCTTTGCATTTCCACAGGCACATGATAGATTTGTCCCACATAAATGTGGCCCTGATCGTTGAGTGATTTCTAGCAGGAGATGCTGACCTGACACTGTACACACGCTGTGGCATTTCTTCAGGAAGCTGCAGCACACAATCCCCGCGAGCGCAGGCCTCTCCGCCCTCAGTCTTGCGTAACTTGTCCGGAGTGCTGGACGGTCCGGCGCTGATTCCAGCAGAGCTGAACTTGGGGACATGGCGGACTGGGGTTTGCTGTTAGACTGCTTCACGTTCTGTTGTCACCACCGACAACTATAGTTTTCGTTTGCTTTTGTTTTCGAAGTGCTCACAATGCATGTAGACATCGTTCTTCGTGATCGTACTGTGGGATCGATCACAGTGACTTAGAGTCAGGAAGGAACATTAACGTCACAAATTCTAAGTAGTTTCTCACAGCAAAGAATACTTGATAATGGTTGCACTTATCTTCAGTGCAGGCTAGATAAGTGTTTACCCAACCAAGCGTACCTTGCGCTGTCTTCTCAGAAAGCCCTCAAAAGGCTCTTGGAAAAACCTAGATTCAAATGTGGGTGATGATGATTGACAGTTGCATATCCTGGGAAGCAGGGTATGAGGGTGGTTGGGAATGGTGCCAATTGTGTGGCAGATTCTGCTTCTTGTGAATACTCCGAAAGCATCGACTATGTATTCCCAGTTCCAGAGGGGCCTCCCCACCCCTTTACACCCTTGCCGAAGAAGGCAGCAGTCTTGGTAGACCCTGTCCCGCCTCTCTGGGCCTTCTGGCATCCCCTGCCTGTGGGCTGCCCCGCGGATCTGCCATGGAGGTGGATGGGTGGCCTGAGGCTCACAGACCTGTGTGGGGTGGTTTTCCTCTTTTTAAATGCAGCCCAGAGGGGCGTATTTGTGTCCCTGGCTCGGTGACCTGTGACATTCTTTGGGAACCTGCTATCATTGCTTTGATTAACTTCTTGTGTTTGAAGGCCCTTTGAGCAGGGCTGTGCTGTCCTTCTGCAGACTAGGAGCAGGTCACCCTCATGGAGTGTGTGTGTGAGGGATGGCTGCCTCACCGGGGCCACGAAGCCCAACGCCAACCCGAAATGTGTCCGTATCGCCACGAACCCACTTGAGGAGTTCTGGGTAGGTTTCTTTAGGCAAGACCCTTATTCCCCATAAAGCAGCCTTTCTTTAGTAAAATTCGTTCTGGGCAAATGTTTGAAAAGTGCCTTATTGTATTTCTGCTCATGAAGGAGATTCACTGTTCTGGATTTATTCTAATGTGGACCTGAACTATTTGAGCAAGTATTAGGTACTAGGGCATACTCAGACTTTTTAGCTGTATTTTATACCTAAGATTTCATGTCAGGTTTATTAGTAGAATTAGAAGAGATTCTGGTTAGCTGAGCGTAGACCTGCTGTAGCCCCCGTGGCCAGGCGTCCTCCTGCCTCTCCGCCTTCTGGTGGGGGCTGTGTCAGCTGGTTTCCACAGTGACATTTTATATTCTTTCAGTTTAAGTTACCCGAGCTGGGGAGAGTGTCCAGGCCTGGTGAGGCTTGACTGCAGCGTTGATTCTGAAATGGCATCCTGTGGAAAGAGTAAGCATGGAAAATGAAGGTGGTTGTTGGTGGCTACTTTTCAGAAGATTTTGGTGCCAGGAAACAAATGGGCACTTGTAGGGTCCACTAGAACAGACTCTGGCTATGGTGCCTGGCCTCCCGGGTTCCCGAAGGCCCCTGATGGAGCTGTGGAAGGTGGTGTGTGTGGGCCTGCCTCGGTGCTCCAGTGGAGGGGTCCCCATAGTGCTGTGTACCTGCCCTCAGCTGGTTGACATGGGCTGTCTTGTCCACTGTGGTCACAAGTAGTTATGGGTGTGTTTATGTATTGAAAAAGCGTAGATGATTGCATTGAAGTAACACACTTGCTAGCCTGGAAGCTCTTGGTAAGAGAGCTGCAGACAACCTTCCCACGCTGGGCAATGGGCAGGCTTTCAGTTGATGGACTTCCTGTATCACCGAGGACCAATTGATGCCATAAAATGGGATAGTCTGAGTGTGCTGTGGTCTTGAACCCGAAAAGGACCTTGTCTCTGGAAAGTAGGCATAGAAACACTGTTTTTCTAGTTAGTAATGATAAACTAAGCCGTCCTGCGTGGCGTGGGTGCCACTGTTGAACACAGACCTTGTGGCTACTGTAAGATCTGCTTTTGTCATTGTCTGAGTAGGACACGCGTGTCTGGGACGTGTGTGTCTCTAACTGCACACACGGAATCTTTCTCTTGCTGTGATGTTCTTGAAAGCCTTGGGCCAGGCAGTTAGTAGGCCCCGCGCCCGGTCTGTGCCCGCTGCCGTCGGGAACGGCCCCCTGTCAGGCTCACCGTTCCCCTGGCCCGGGAGCAGAGGCTTAGGTTTCCTTGAAGGGGACTGCGGAAAAGGAAAGAAGCAGAATTAGGAAGTAACGTTATTTCCAAGGTCGGTACACTTTCCGCAGTGACATCAGACCACCGACAGCTGAACCCTCTTGGAAGATCTGTTGCAACCATTATCTTTGTTCTTTATTTATCATGCATTTAAAATGAGATGCAGAAGCATTTAACATACTATGTAAATATGGACCTTTTAAATTTAAAATGTTATTGGAGATGCTTTCAATTCAGCAACAATCTTAGCTCTTTGTTAGTTCTTTTGTGTTGTCTTATCAAAGTTTCATGGATACAGTTCCATAACTGTTGATGTGTTTGTGTGTATATTCGATTTTTATAAAGATGGTAGTAAGTCAATACATTTATCCTGACCTGTGTATTATTTGTTCCCAAATTCAAGAAGCTTAAAGTCAGTAAATAATCTATCGCATAAGGTAAACATAATAGGTAATTATGTGGAGCCAAGTTACTTTTTCTTTTTGCATTGTCTTGTTTTGATTTTGTGCTGTAATATAAGATCACGTAGCCGCTATCTGAGCATAACCTTGCATTACCGTTGGTCTGGCCACTTTTGTTAAGTCCTTCTACTGATACTTTTCTAAAGGAGAAACCCTGTCCCCCCCCCCCCAAAAGAAATGTTGAGGGTCCCCCACCCCTTCTAGACAGGCAGCATCCTAAGTAGATGCCTGTGCCCTTGCCCCAGGGGGGGGAGTGGAAGGGTTGGGGGGCCTTGTAATAACTACTTTTCATTTGGGTCGTTCTTCTCTTAATTTGTAATGGTCCTGGATAAACAATTGTTTATGATTGGTTCTGTAGCATTTCTAAATTGTGGCAGAGCTTCAATCCTGCACCCAGGGGTCTTCTTTCAAAGAGCATTTTGCTTAATTTGCAAACGGAACACTTTGTTGCCCATGGAAGGGGAGAGCTGTCTAGGGTGGAGGGAGTGAGGAATGACAGGCAGGGGGAGAGGAGAGTTTGCAGAATGAAAGAATTGTTTTAAGGATTATAATCAACTTTTAGCACGCTGACTCTTTAAAGACGAGTCAGCCAGTTAAGCTGAGAGACACAGGAGGGTGGGCAAGCAGACAGCTCTCACTGGGGCGATGGGAGGGTGCCCCCATCAGGGAGAACCAACCACCTTCCCTGCGTGGGCCTTGAGCTCTTCCTCAGGAGGAGGCTGGACTGGCTCCGATGGAGGAGATGGAGGAGACGCACGGAGGCAGGGCCTTGCTCAGAGGGTTGGTTTTGAGAACCTGTCACTTCCATTCTTTTTTTTTTTTTTTTCTTTCTTTCATTTTTCTTTTGGCTTGTGGTTTCTGTTTTGTTCTGTTTATTTTTTTTAATTATTATTATTAATTTATTTGTTATTTAATTGAAGGTAAGCTCACCATGCAGGTAGACCACTGGACTGACAGGGACCCTGTGGTGGACAGGTGGGCTAATGTAGTAGCCTGGGTGCCGAGTGCCTGGAGCACCCTCGAGCCCCTCGTCCTGCTTTGTTCCCCAGAAAGCCCACACGCCTGGTGTCAGGAAGCCCATCCCTGGGCAGCTTGTGCTGCCCTCAGCAAATGGCTTTGGGCCCCCTGCCTGCCCTACTGCCCTCCTCGGGGTCATTTTTAATTTTTCCTCCTTCCTGCTTGCAGGACTGTTGTGGTTTCACATATTCACTGGGAGACCTAATCTTACTTCCCTTTAGTCAGGTAGAGTCGTCGTCCCCCCCCCGGTTTTTTTGCTTATTTATTTGGAGTTGGGAAGGGACTTCTCAGAGGTAGCCCTTGGTTCTTTACACATTTTGAAGTGACATTATTCTGAAAGGGAATATCCTGAATGGTGGTGGGAGGGGGTGGGTGATAGAACCCAGACCAGGAGACATTGTCTGCCCTCCCCTCACCTCTCCCATGAAAGAAGCCACAGGAGTTTAGATCACGTAAGGGAAAGTTTAGATATTTTACTGTGTTTAATGAGCATTTCGAGTAACCTTTTCAACTATATTTAAAACTTGTGAATGAAGTGTTATTTTGGACATTCGTAGATATGAACTCTCCAAAGGCGTTTGGCCTTGATTCACTAGTAAATCCTAAGGATTTTGTGTAAGGTTTTTTTGCAACCTATTTAATTGTCATTTAAAGCGCCCATGGTTTTGTGTCCTAGAACCAAAGCAAAACTCACTGATTCATATTGGATCCCAGGTATACCTTCTTCTGGTAGCGTATGGTTGGGAAGGATCATTGATTTTACACTTTGTAACCTGCTTTTTCTAGAGAATGTTTTTATGAATCTTAACTCTTTTCTGTGCCGTGTTGTGGTAGGAAATCTTTTCATTAAGATGGGCAGGTAGAGCAGGTATTGATAGTGAGAAGTTGCTTTTCACTTTTATTTCTAACCAACTAAAATGTAAAAAGATCGTGTTGGTGTTTTGCTCTGTTTTATTTTACTAACTTAAAAATGTATGTAGAAAAATACAGGCCTTTTATGAGGAAACTAGTTTTAAATTTTTAGTACATTGCAGAGAGTGGACAGATGTGCTATTTGATATATTCTGTATTTAGTAATTAGTATACTCTAGAAAGTAGACCTTGACATTCTTTCAGCATGATTTCCTTTTGGAATTAGTTGTCATCGTAAGGGCACAGATAGTGGACCCTGATTTTAAAGGACTGAGTGTTTTGCAGTATTGCCTTGGAATACATAACTAGATGTTGGAACCAGCACACACGCAACACGCTCATACTCTCAGCTGAAGAGCAAGTGATCCTTTGTATTTATAATCCATCTTTGCTTTTTACAGGATGGGATCCAGACTTGCTTTTCCTCTGTGAGGATTTTAACTCTCCGCCTTCGTCTTTAATTCCACACTTTGACTTCTAGGTTCAGGAAGAGCGAAGCCTGAAACCGTTCCATCCCTCCTCTGGGGGCGCTGCCATCCTGGGCAGCCCGCAGCCCTGGCCTCCACCTGCCCCCCTCCTTCCTCCTGTTCTCTTGCACTTCCGTTGCCCAACCACACACACACACACACACACACACACACACACACCACCACCCACCCACCCACACCCGGCCACCACTGAGAGTGCCTTTCCCTTTCGGAAAATCCTTTTCTTTGACTTCCTCATCTCTGGATGCCCTTACCTCCTCCTCCCGGCCCTCCTTTGGTGATGGACTTCTTTTGCTGTTGGTGCTATATTCTTTTCTTGCTCCTGTGTCCAGTCTTAACATTTAGAATTCCTCTCTGGGAGGGGGTATGAGAATGTTGTGAATATTTTTGCACTGTGTTTAAATTCAATTGCCTCTCATCCTTTGCTTTGACAGGTGTTTACTCGTGCTTTGTTCCCCCAGGTCTGTGTTGGAGAGAATAATATCTGAATTCTATTATTTTGCAGTTTGACTTGTAGGAGCGTGTGGCACCCCCAGATGCCAGCATCGTGCCGCCGGTGGGAGGCGTGTGATTAATCACCCCCTTGTTTTCACCCCTCTACTTTTGCAGGACCTCTTGTGCATGAGTTCAGTGTTAGTTGTGGCGCGCCTAGTTTTCCACTGGAAGTGGCGGCCTGTTTGACCCTTTGTTACTGCTCTCGCTGTGATCCTTCCTAACCGTAATGCGCACGCGCTGCCGAGCTGGTCTGTGCAGCTCCGAGGTGGAGCCTGACGCTGTGTTTATTGGGAGTGCATTGAGAGTTCACAAACCAAGAGGTTGCCTATTGCTTTCCTCTGGGTTGGTCTCCTCCATGTTTTCTACCAAACACTGCACTTACCGTTGTGGGAAATGATGTTGCCTTGCCTTACCCCGTTTTTCACTTTGTGCTAATCACTGTGACAGCTCTATCAGGAATATGTGTGAAGAACAGTAGTGACATGGTTGGAAAAATGTATTGTGTGTGTATCATTTGTGTGATTCCATACCGAGACGTGTCTGGAACTGTTTGTAATTCGAAAGATGTGTTAATAAAAGACTTTGCAGTTCTTACTTTTGTTCTGTAGCTTTTCCTTTCTCTTGCCACTCAGATGCGGTCCGTGTCCCATCTTAGCCATGTGGACAGAGGCTGGGGTGGTGTCCCCCCGAGGAGTGGGGGTATCCGCAGGCCCCCCCCAGAGGTGTTCCCCTGTGCTGTAGGTGTCGGCTGGGAAACGGCCTCTGGTGGGTGGACCTGTGGGAAGGTCAGCGCCACTGTCTTCATCCACATCCTGTGGTCTGCAGAGGCCTGAACAGATGGTGTTTTCTGTTGTTGGAAGTGGGGGAGTTTTATTATCTTTTTACATTTTTATGATGTTACAAGTAATTGTTAGAACTTTTCAGAGGACATTAGTGCTCTGAGGCTACTGATGAAAAGTGAAGATGGGCAAAACCAGTCATGCATAGTATCTCCCTGCATGCGACCTCTGCCTGTGATGTCCAGCTTCTGTTTGGGAAGTCGCATGGTGCCCACTGCTGGGCATCCCTCGTCCCTGTTGTGCATCACCTGTGCATGCCATGTCGCTACAGATGGCTCATAAATTCTGATCTGTTCTGAAAAAGTCGTTTGAAAATAACCCCCCGCCCCACCCCACCCCACCCCACCCCATTTGAGGATACCTTTGAGAGGAGACCTAGGTGTTGGTGCGCATATACCCTGTGCTGGGCCCAACGTGGGTGTCTGCATGGGATTCAGGCGGGAGGCACCCGGTGGCTGCACCTGTCCTCAGCTCTGGAAACCAGTTTGTCATACTTGTAGGAAGGAAGCCTGTTGTTGAAGATCAAGCGGAATGGTGATCAGGGGTGACCTATGCCGGCCCACAAAGCCCCTAGAGCTGGGCGGGTGACACTGGCTCACTGGACTCAGGTCTTCCTGCCCTTCATGAGACAAAACCTGTGCTCTTGCTCATGAGCAGCTGTCATTTGCGTTTGACCTCTGCACGGTACCTCCTTTGATCTCATGACAAAGGCCAACACGGAGAGGACGTACATGGTGCCCCTGCAGGCAGGACCGGCCACAGGGGGATGGGCAGTAGAGGCCTGGGCTCCTCTGCAGGTGTTGGTAATGGCCTCGCTGACAAGTGTCCCTGCTGGAGACGTCCAGAGGCCGCACTTTATCACTCTTCTCCGATGCCGAGCAGGAGGCCTTGGGTCGGTCCTGAGCGAGCAGGAAAGAAGGCAAGAGAGGAGGCTAATCGGGGGGAAACAAGGAACTGACAGGTAACAGGTCTGCGTGTTGGATTCATTTCTCAGATCTGACTTCACGGAGTCTTTAACCCTAAATCAGAATTCGAAGACGGCCGATGTCTATCTTTTTTTAAAGATTATTTATTCATGAGAGAGAGAGGCAGAGACACAGGCAGAAGCAGGCTCCATGCAGGGAGCCTGATGTGGGACTCGATCCCAGGACCCCAGGGTCATGCCCTGGACTGAAGGCAGGCACTAAACTGCTGAGCCACCCACGTGTCCCAAGATGGCCAGTGTCTAAAGCCAAAACCATTTTCCTTCCACTTTAATCCACATTCCCAGGATAACTTGTTGCCTATGTAAAACCTGGCCTTACTGTGAGTGATGGCATCTTTGCACAGGATGGGGTTGAAAGTGCCTCTGGGCACCGGGTGGACGGGCTCCTCTGAGAGTGGGTGCTGCTGTGCAGATGTCTCCGCACAGGCCGCACCCCCGATGGGGTCCACTCGCCACCTCTGACCTGCGCTTCTCCTCAGAGCACCTTCCCGAACTTTGAGGGAGATCATTTACAGCAAGTCTGAGGGGAGGAGTGGTGGGAGTGACCCCCAGGGAGACAGTTCAGGACTGAGGTGGAGGGTGACTCCTTGGAAGGATGGAGCACTGTTTGGGCCAGAGGGTGGCTCCCAGATGCTGTCCTGAGGGGAGGCCATCCTGAGGGGAGCTGGCCCGGTGGCTCTGGAGGTCTGTGCTGGAAGTGGTGTTTCCTGGGTACACGTGGGTGTTGGCATGGCGTGCGTGCACTGAGAGGCCAATGCGGCTCCTTCCCGGGCTCTAAGATTCCGGCCAGGGACCACTCCAGGTGACTCTTCGCCTGACACTCTGGCCTCAGCCAGGGTGCTGGGTGCTGCCCCTTCTTGTCAGACCCGAAGGTCGGCGGCCAGAGCCACTTGGACGGCACCATGGGGCTCCCTCATCCACTGTGACCAAGAGACGCAAATCCCCCGGAAGTGGCACTTGGCGTCTGGGTGCTGGAGGCTGGCCCAGGCCGTCACTGCACCTGACGTGGCGCCTGGGTGATGTTGGGGAGCAGCACAGCGGCAGCCCTCGCGGAGCCCGAAACTAGGGGGCGGACAGTGTGTCGGGAGCGGGCAGGGGTGGGGCCTGTGCAGAGAGCGGGGTACAAGAGCCCCATCAGAGCTCGGGCGGTGGCAGGGGCTGGGGGTGAGGGGTCGGGGTGCTGAGGGCTCCGAGACTCTTGTCCCCACGCGCCCCGGGGCCTGTGCTCTCCACCTGCTGTGCCCAGTGGTGCCGTGCCCTCACTGCAGTCTGCACAGAGTCCACCTGGGCTGTAGCCCCCCACCGCACCCCTGCACTGGGTCCTCCCCGGGAGCTGCCCCGGTGCCTCCGGCCACACCCCCCAAGGGTGTTGCCACCTGTGCAGATCTGGGAATGCGGCTGCACTTCTTTGCCGCCCCAGCGCCTCGGAGTCTGGGGTGACCCAGGGGCCCCCCTATTTCTTCTGGGCGCCTGGCCTGAGACCCCACATCCTTGCAGAAACCCAAGGTGAGACAGGAGCACCCACTACCCGCCAGGCCGCTGCCTGTGGAGGGTCATGCCTCCCCATCCAGCGACTTCCACCCTTTTTGCCCTCTGCCAACTTTGGTCATTTCCGGGGTCTCCTCCCTAGCTGCCCGGTGCCACTCTCCGCCACCCTGCCATGGCCAGGAGCGTCCCATGGCCTGGGCATCTGGGAGCCTCACCTCCTAGGAGCCCAGCTCTCCCCGGGGCAGCACCGCGCCCTGAGGGGGCTGACAGCTGACACGCATTCCCTGGCATTCAGGCTGCACATCCCAGCCGGAGTCCCTGGGGCTGCTGGAATCCTCCATCCCAATTCCCTGTCACTCTTGGGGCCGAGCTTCCTCTGTGCTTGTGCTCACTCCCCGCCACCTGCAGCGTCCCCACCTGCACTGCACCCCACCCCCACCTGTTGAAGGCCTCGCCCCGCCTGCAGGATTCGAGCCCACTGGCCCTCCTGTGGGCAGACCCCCTTCACTTTGCTTCCACCTCCAACGTAATTCATCTCCATTTGCAAATCCACTGAGAAAGCTGGCAAATCCGTTTCTTGCTGTCTGCATTTTCTCCCTAAAATTCCCTCTTTGATCCACACTGGCCTGACTTTTCAACCCAATGTTGCCTCGAAACATCTTTGCCAAGAATTCTAATGGCTTCGGTAGAGTGGCAGAGTGGCGGGCTCCTCCCTTCTGCGGCCTCCGGGATGGCGCCTCCTCCCCCATCCGGCTGCCCTGGGATCTGCCTCCCGGCCTCCCGCCTGGGTCCTCCTTGTCTCTGTCTGCGCGTCTGCTCTAGGTGGGAGCCCCTGGACTGCCCCTCGTTCTCTTCCCTCTACGACCCGGGGATCAGACCCCCCACCCCCCTGCTTAGATGTTCAGCAGGTGCTTCAGACTCCATATACGGAGCTCTTGGGTGTTCGTCCTCGGTCTGTCCCCACTGCTTCCTAAGGATGCCGAGGCCCCGAGCCTCCTCCTCTCATGCATCCAGCCCCATCTTCCAAAAGTGTCTGGGATCTCAGACTGTCCCTCTGCACAGCTACCACCCCAGCGAAAGTCACCAAACCCGCCTGTCACGCAGGTTAGACTGGCCTCCGAAGATGGGGGTCAGCTCACTGCTTGGGAGACGCTCCTGCAGGGCATCTCCTCTTACCTAGGATAAAACCCCTCCTACGTGTCATCCGTGTACTGTTGTAGCGCCTGTGCAGGAGTGGCAGCTGCGCACAGCGGAAGGTAGGACTAGGATGCGTCCCTCCCTGTGCCCTACACCTGCAGCGATGCATCGTGTCGACTCTGCTCCAGCCGCAGATAAGTATGAGTCCCTCCAGCACCTATGGCCTTCCTCCATGCCGCCCCCTGCTGCCCCCGCTGCCCGGCAGCCCTCTGGGAGGGGGCCTCTCCCCACACGGCCCTGTCAGAGCACCCCCCCACCCACCCACTGCCATGCTCTCTGCTTGGTTCCTGTGCTGTCATTGTTCCTCCTGGGGCTCCTGTCCTGCTGGCTCTCTTCTCCGAATATCTGGTAATTTTGGATTGGGTGTGTGGGACACATCACTTTGGGAATCTGGATTTTGTCCTGTTTTTTTTTTTTTTTTTTTTTAAGTTTCTATTTATTCGTGAGAGACACAGAGAGGCAAGCAGAGGGAGAAGCAGGCTCCCTGTGGAGGAGTCCCATGTGGGACTCGATCCCAGAACCCTGGGATCACGACCTGAGCCAAATGCAGAGACTCAACCCCTGAGCCACCCAGGTGTCCCCGTCATCCTGTTTTAAAGAGTGTCTGTTTTCGTTCTGGAAGGCAGCCAGTCTAATGGGGGTGAGCGTGGCCCTTTTGGGACTTGATTTGCAGCCTGGTTTGGCCAGATGCAGGTCTGCCCTGGCTCTGGAGGCCTGATGACCTGGGATGTGTAGCAAAGTCCCCATTGCGCCAGCAGACCTCCTATGTCCCAGCCCTGGACGCCTGCTCCAAGCTATGTGCTGCTGGGCCCCACGCAGCCGGGCCCCCAGACTCAGGCAGCTGGGGGACAGACAGCAGGACTTAGGGGACCCTCTGCGGGGCCTGGAGCCCCCATGTAGCTGCCTGAGCTCCAAGACCCTGCACCACTGGTTCCAGCTGCCTCAGCAGCCCCTGCCTCCCTGAACTCAGGCTGCATCCCCTGCACTGAGGTCTGGAAAGTTCCTCCACACACAAAGCCAGGGACCCCGGAGCTAACCGTGTGTGATCGCAGCTGGGCCTGTTATGGGGGGACAGCACCTGGGCTGTGGT